ACACACACACACACACACACACTGAAAAAGAAAGTAGAAAGCTTGGGGAGGTAGTCTATGTCTCCATTCTTTGCATTTAGAAGGCCGAGATCGGAGGACCTGAATTTTAGGTTATTCTGGGCTATCTAGCAAGTTCTAGGCTAGCCTGGGCTACCTAGTGAAACCCTATCTTAAAAAGTAAAATAAGAGGGGGCTGGAGAGTTGGCTTAGCAGTTAAAAACACTTGGTGTTCTTGCAGAGAACCTGGTTCAGTTCTCAGCACCCACATGGTGACTCACAGGCATTTGTAACTCCAGTTGCAGGGGATCTGACCCCCACAGATATCAGACATACATTGTGCAATACATACATGCAGGCAAAACACTTGTACTCACAAAAATCTAAGAAAATAAAATGTTAAATTTAAATATTTTTAAAAATATAACTTAGAGATCAAGACTTAAGATTCAGGAAAATGGTCTGGATGAGAAGTAGATGCTTGTTAATGTCACCAACCCAGTTCATAAGGCTGAAGTTGAATTTTTGAGGAGCAGTGGTCCACAAAAGTCCAAAGAGAACCTTAAAAACATACAGCATCAAGACAAAGGGAAACAGCCATTAATTCTAAAGAGAAACATTAAGTGGATTAGGAAAAACACTTATATCTCCCAACAGGTCTTACACTGTAGTATATGAGACCACCGCTTAAAAAGCAACTTTGAATGTGATGAGGAGGATATAAAATAATAGCATCAGCACACAAGGAGTTGGTAGAATGTCACATACATCCATACATCATGAAATCTCAGCAAACCATGTCCAAAAGCAACAAATTTTGGTGAAGAGAGAAGGTGGGGGCGTATGCTCTAGTTGAGCGGCAGCCGGGGACTCTGAACGGTGGGAGGGAGACTAACTGTGTAGAGCATCCCACGCGCTTCTCATCCCTGATACAGACTACCACAGGAGCCCAGGAGAAAGGCTGTGATGGAGGTGAGCAATTTCCAGACGGTCCCTTTTGCTTCCAACAGGTCATCCAATACAATCTTCGCTTGACCTGTGACAATTCAATTTCTTGAAGAAGACAAAATGAGAGGCTGGGGAGATGACCCAGTTGGTAAAGAGCTTGCGGTGGAAGCATGAGAAACTGAGTTTGGATCTCCCACCACTCACATAAGCAGCCAGGGGTGATGGCCTGTGTTTGTAACCTAGCACAGGGGAGGCAGACACAGGCAGATAGATCCCTGAAGTTCCTTGACTGACCAGCCTAGCTGAGGTGATGAGCTCCAGGTTAAGAGAAGGACTCTGTCTTAGCTGTAAGGTGGAGGTTGACTGAGAAAGACATTTGGTACCAAGCTCTGGCTTCCACATGCATGTGCACACACTTGCACCTGCAGTCATATGTGCACACATCCACACACACATATGTGCTCCTCCAACACACATATGCACACACACACACACACACACACACACACACACACGGAGAGAGAGAGAGAGAGAGAGAGAGAGAGAGAGAGAGAGAGAGAGATCAAAAGAGCAGCAAACGATTACTCAGAGACCTAATTCTGATCTTCAGACCTGAAGGTGGTAGGAGTCTTGGAAGAATGTGATCCTGGTATCTCTTATAGAACGTGGGAGAGCATCATAAGGAAGTGATTTTAGCGTGTCAGTAAAGAAAATGATTCCCTCAGTCGGATACTCTGTCGCTATGGTGCTCAACGTGTGTGGAATACCAGCACTGAAGCCATCTCCATAGGAAGCAAAGGCAGACCCTGAAGTCACGCAGGCGACACACAGATTTCTAGGAAGTGAGTCCAGTCTTAAAGATCATGGGCAAAAGATGGAGAAGTGGCTTTAATGGAGGCTTATTCCCAAAGGAGCACAAACTTGCCTTAACTGAGAAACAGAAGAGTCTAAAGCTGGGGGTTTTATGGAAAGTTGTGGGCACAATAAAAAGGGCAGCAGACCATGTGGCTTTGGATGGAGACACAAAGGAGTGGTCCTGGCTGCCCTCTTGCTCCTGTATTTCTATCAATCAGAAAGATCTGCAAGTTGGAAAAGGTTAAACAAGGGGCGGGACCGAGGACCAAAGCAATGGACGGGCAGTGAAGGGAGGAAGTGGTTAAGACTTCGAGAACCTGGGTGAGGTCCACTTCCTGACTTCCAGCCTCCTCACTCTAGCAGGAGAAAGCCTGGCTGGTGTGCACCTCCACACTTCTAAATGCATCTTGTTTTCAGCTCCATGACTGTGTGCACTAACAGGGTGAGCACCACTTCAATGGTTTGAAGGCATGGACTAATAAATCACTGTGAGGGTGCTGGACTACCATTTACCGAGTTGGAAGCAAATCATTAAGAAGAGTAATATATATGACTCTTCAGATCCCAGATCCGGCTATCATCAACATCCATGAGGGAGGAAACACACGATCTATGATGCTCATGAGCATTGAGCGTGAGGATACCGCAGTCCACACAGCATTTAAACACAAGGTTCATGGAAACAACCTAAATGCCCCTTGGCTGAAGAATGGATAAGGGAAATGTGGTACATTTACACAATGGAGTACTACACAGCAGAAAAAAATAATGACATCTTGAAATTTGCAGGCAAATGGATGAATCTGAAAAACATGATATTGAGTGAGGTAACCCAAAACCAGAAAGACAAATAAAATATGTACGCACTCATATGTGGCTTTAAGACATAAAACAAAGAAAAACCAGCCTACAGTTCACAATCCCAGAGAATCTAGACAACAAAGAAGACCCTGAGAGAGATATACATGAATCTAATCTACATGGGAAGTAGAAAAAGACAAGATCTCCTGAGAAAATTGGGAGCATGGTGACCATAGGAGAGGGTAGAAGGGGAGGGGAGAGGAAGGAAGGGGAGTGGAGAAAAATAAATAGCCCAATAAAAACAATAAAAGATAAATAAATGCAAGGTTTATATATGGCAGAAGAAATGACCCAATAGTTAAGGGAACTGTCATTATGCTTCACTTTAAAGTATTTCAGAAAAGGATTAATTTATCCAGCCAATTCTTAGTGTCCAATAATATAGTAGGGATTCAAGGATGAATTGAAGATAGACTCCTTTGGAGAGCCCAGTTCCTAGGTAGGGGAAGTTCAAGGTGATATAAGACTTAAATGGGCAGGTAGGAGGACCATGGAAGGGTGGAAGTCGCCCACAAACCTCTAGCTTGTTCCTGTGGGGAAGTGTAGAAATTTTAGATACTCACTTCACCCAGGGACAGGAGATGCCTGGGCAGGCAGTCTCCCTCAGAGACAAAGATGACACACACAAACAGTTCTGGAGAGAGACTTAGTCTTCTTTAAATGGGGGGTGGCATGCTCTTGGGACCAATGGGGACTCATTTGGGTTATGAGGATATGAAGGTCTCTGGCTCACCGGTGGATGAAGTGGTTTTCCTCCAGGTACTGACAGCCACAGGCAATGTCCCGAGCCACATGCAGTAGATCCAGCATGGCCAGGGAGGAGGGCTGGTTCTGTGGGCGGAGAAGAGGAGTGTGCTGATCATGCGGTTCTCCCAGGGCTCTCACCCCTTTAATCACAAGTTGCTTTACCCCAACAGTGGTCAAGACATTCATCTTTTTGGATAGGCATGGCTTTGTATATTTAAAAGCACCAGGTGAGTCTAATGTACAGCCAGGGCTAGGGTTGCCTAGGCCACAGGAATCCAACAGGACAGACATTCTTACTCTCATGTATTCTACCGTTCTACTCCAGACTTCCTGGGCATGACAAACAAGCCTCAGAGAAAGCCAGTGGAGAATAATGTTTTTGAAATCTTCTATTGCAATGTCTTTAAATGGTCTGTGTGTTTATTGCATTTTTCCGTGTGTGTGTGTGTGTGTGTGTGTGTGTGTGTGTGTGTGTGTGTGTAGGTGGTTATGCATGTTTACAGGTGCCAGGCTGCTGTCAGGAGTCACTCGCTTTCATCTTAGTCTTTAAGGCAGGGTTTCTCAGTCACACCCAGAGCGCCTCGACACGACAACATGGCTGGTCTTGTTAGCCACTTTCTCTAGAGATACCCTCTCTCAGCCTTCTGGGACTGGACTGCAGGCAGGTTACCACCCACAAGACATTTCCATGAGATGATGTGGGGATGCAAGCTGCAGTCCTTGTAGGGCAAGCACTTTAACCATTAGTGTCTTAACTACCGAACCATCTCTCTAGCACTTAAAATGTTTTTAAACTTGGGGCTGGAGAGATGGCTCAGTGATGAGAGCACTGGCTCCTCTACTAATGAACCTGGGTTCAATTCTCGGCACCCACATGACCGTTCAACCAGGAGATCAAGTTTTAGTCCTGGTTTTCTATTTCCTGTGGCCCTGGCATGCTGATAACCTTTAAGGGTCACAGTTTTCACATCTGTAAAATGGCACGAGCTCTGCACTGTTTGCTTCACAGGGCAGTGTTATGTGTGGACGCTCAGAGGACAACGATTTTGACAACAATGATGTTGATGAGAACAGTTTACCAGTGGGGTTAGTTTTCCCTCCTGTCTCCCAGAATTCCACTGATATTTTTCAAGGGGGTAAGATGGGACGTTTTAGGTGTCCAGATGTGTCATCCAGCTGTTCGTGGAAACACTGTGGAGGATCCTAAAATGGGACTATTTTGCTTTTATTTACTAATTTCCTTTGGAAATAGTGGCTCAGTTGTTCCAGCCTAGCTCCAAACTCACTATGTAGCTGAGGGTGGTCATGATCTTGTGATTCTCCTTTGTCCATTTCTCAGCTATGTTCCCACTAGCCCTGATTTATGCATGGGGATTGAACCCAGAGCATCATGGGTGCTAGGCAAGACCTTTGATGGCTGAGCTACATCCTGAGGGGTGTTTTAAACTGAACCTGATTGGAGATGGCATTAGAGCAGATATCCCAGGGTCCCTGCCTCTTCTTCTAGTTCCTGTGAACAGTGTGGTCAGCTCTCGACCTTCCATCACTAGGGTGTCAGGCTCACTTTGCTTTTCTCTGGCAGGGCTCTTCTTGAGCTAGTCTTCCTTGTGGCAATCCCTGGAGGAAGCCAAGGTCCTGACCCCGGCCTGCTCTGCTCCAGTTCCTCATGACTGGGGCCTCCTGAAGCTCCTTCAGGAAAGGTTTTACTAAACTCTCGGTGGCTGGAGATGCAGTGCTTTGTCATCCAAGTCATCCTTAGGATGCTTCCCTCTGACCCTCAGGCTCCACCTGCACACATGTTAAGGTAAATGAAGGTGGGTTGCCCTGAGTACATGGCGCCTGGTGGCAGTGCAGGGGCTGGAGGCTGGGCTTCATGGGCCCACCTTAGAGCTCGCCCCTCATCCATGACGCCACAGACACATATGCTACCCGTATACATATTCCAGCACGTTATTATTATTATTACTATCATCATTATTTTACAGAAAACTACAAAGTCAGGATGCTGTGCATTCTATTTGTTTGAGAGAAGAGGTCAGTGGGTTCCGAATCAGTGGATAGGAAGCGAGTTAGTGACATGGCTGGCATACAAGCCCCTCTGACCCAGAGTTCTCAGGTCATAAAAAGAAGTCAGGCTGCTGAATCAATTGTGTAAGACTTGCACTGGCTCCTTCTGACTGGTGCTCTTTCTGTCCATCTGATCCTGTCCATTCCCTTCCTGTTCAAACCATAGTACTGATGACTCCCAGGATCCCATCTACCCTGCAACTTCCTCGGCAACCCACTCCCGCCCCCCTCACCCTTGCTCTTTTACTGACATGAACACCGAAGGCAAGACCGGGTCTCACTCACTGGGCGCGGGCGCGTCTCCCTGAGGAAGGACTTGAGGTCCCCACCAGCCATGAGCTCCAGCAGGATGAAGCGGGGCAGGGCTTGCAGACTCACCCCGATGCAGCGAACAATGTTCTGGTGGTTGAATTTGCTGCAGGGCAGAGGGTACAACCAAATCTAACTGAGCTGGGTCTGAGACCATTAAGAGAAGCCAGACACATTAATGTGACACACTAAGAGTCACAGGTTCAGCAACCATGTTTTAAAGCTGCATTCTACATGTGCGGGCGGTGGGGTCCCTGGCTGAGCCTGAAGGGAACCTCCCCGGGGATCTGGGCAGATGGGGCAGGCCTGGTGGGAGGTGAACTAGCAGAAAAGAATTCTAATGGAGTGAGGGGAACCTTCAAGTGACAAAGTATATGTATGTGTGTGTGTGCACACGCATGTGTGTGTGTGTGTGGACACATGTGGTTGTGTGTGGCCATTGCTGCATGAATATATACTTCAGTTCTCTAAGGAAGGTCTCAGGTAGAAGTTGAAGGACTGGTTTCTGACAGGGAGAGCATGTGACTTGCAGCAGGGCAGACAGTCTGTGAAAGAGTCAGGAAGATGGCCCCGCTTGTCTCTGTAATTGCCACATAGGTAGGGACTGATTGGAACATGAGGTTACGAGATTTGGGTTATTTTGTCATTTTAGGATATGTAGAACAGTGGAACTGGGATGCCGCACATGAACACATACACACAGTGAGCTGAGAGACTAGTGATTATATGCCGAAATATAATTATTATTTATTATTACCATTTATTATTACCTAGTAGGAATATTACATAATTAAGCTCTTAAGTAATTTTACACTTTTTAGGTTTCATTTAATACTCTCACTATATATATATATATATATATATATATGTGTGTGTGTGTGTGTGTGTGTGTGTGTGTGTGTGTATGTATATATCTGGAAAATAAATATTGTTTTTAAAGCAAGTGCTATCCTGAATGTGTATCTTTCTGGTGTCCCAGAGCCCATGAACATATCACTCATACAGCCTTGGCTGTATTCTCTTGCTACTTCAACCTGGACCACCCCGGGCCACCTCTCCAGGTCAGGATGTCTGGAGGCGGCATAGTGACAGCAGAGGCTGTGAGCTTCCTTCAGGTATTAAGGGCAACGGTCTGCCTCCTCCCTCAGGAGACCTGATGTCAAGAGTAGCTGCCCTCGGTTTCGATGCAGGCCTGGCCCACCAGTTTCAGGGTGAAGCCAGTCCTGTCCTTGTAGATGTGGGGTAAGATAGTCTGCTATCTTTCATCACGTTATGGGGTCCCTTCCTTTATACCGCACCTATGATATGACCTCAGGTATGGAAGAGTCAATTTGGGTGGGGAGGGGCGGGTTATACCGTCTAATGTCAGAAAGGAACTTGCTTTCTTAAGAGAGGAACAAGAATCAGTGCTTGACGCTGGGATGCTGGTTGCAGGCAGAGTACTATCGTGGTTAGGCCACTCAGGTAACTTCTGAGATAACCACTGGGGGTCGTTCCACTTCAGGGATCCTTCTGCTTGTTGGATGGTGGAGGTGGTCATGCTGGGACCAACATACCCTATTTCCCCTGGAGATACCTATCAATTAGGAAGACCTTCATATACTTCAAGGGGTGGGGAGAGAGGCTGGGGTCTCTGTGACTTTACCTGATGATCAGAGCTTCCATGAGGAAATCCAGCTCATCCTGTTCTGAACACACTTCCGGCAGTGTCTGAAAGGAAGGGCGGGAGGAGACGGCAGCTGTGAGCTGTGGGTTGTAGCCTACAGGGACCTCAGGCTAAGGCTAGGCGAAAGGTGGAACCACCCCTCACCTTTACAGCCACTTGTAGAGGGCTTGGGTCATTGGGCATTCCAGATACCTGGCCTTCATACACCTCCCCAAATGCGCCATGGCCTAGGCCCCTGTACCGAGAAGACAAGACAAGGCATAGATAGTTAAGTGAGCCACAGGCAGCTGGGGTCCTTGAGATAAGTGTCATGTTCGGTGTCACAGACAAGAGGCAAGGCTGGGATGCTCAGGAGTTACACCTTCAGTTTGGCTTTGCTATGTCACCCTGGACCTCCATTTATTTACCTTTTTCTCTTAAAATAATCTTATTTTGTTTTTATTTGAATTGAAAATGAATAGTTTGTCATACAAGATATTCTGATTATGGGTTTCCCTCCCCCAACTCTTCCCAGATCCTTGCTACCTCCCCATCCACCCAAATCCACTTCCTTTCTTTCTTACTCTCATTAAAAAAATAAGCAGGCATCTAAAAAAAGAAAAGAAGGAAGGAAGAAAGAAAGAAAACAAACTAACAAACTAGTATAGGGCAAAACAAAAAAGCAAACAGGAAAAAAAAAGATCCAAAGAAAAAGTATAAGAAATACATATAGACTCAGAGAAATCCCCTCTAAACACAAAACTGGAAACCATAATACATAAGCAATAGACCTGTAAGGTTTAAAAAGAAAACCCTCCCCAAATATCACAGTGTTCGCTTTGTGTTGGCCATCTGCTTCTGGCCATGGACCTGCCCTGACGTGCAGTTTGTAAAACCACTGAGACTCCGTTAGGGAAAACTCATTTTCTCTCTGCTAGTGAGGCCTCCGTTTCTTTATCTGAACTCTGGTGAGAACAGGTCTGTTAAGATTTGGAGGTGGTTTGATATTCACAGGTCGAGAAGGGATCCTGACTGTGAGGTGTCAAGAATGTGGCGCACACCTTTCATCTCAGCACTTGGGAGGCAGAGGCAGATGGATCTCCCTGAGTTTGAGGCCAGCCTGGTCTACAGAGCAAGTGCCAGGAAAGGTTTCAAAGCTACAGAGTAACCCTGTCTTGAAAACACAAGCAAACAAAAACTTGGAAAAGTAGTGTTGTGATGGGAAGTGATTTAGAGGAGACAAGGTCATTAGGGTGGAGCCTCCCATGGGCGGATCCAGGGGTTCAAAACCCAGCTCTGTCTTTGGCAGCAAGGTCATCACTAGATAGAATTGGAGACCTTGGATCCTAACTCTGAGCCCAAACAAACCCCTTTCATTTACAACTCACCTACCCTGCAAACAGCAAACAGATCAAAAGGTTTTAACCAGGGATTCATGAAGGTGATCAAATGTTTACCCATCCAGTAACTATTTAGTGAGTCTCCAGTACTGCCGGGGCCAAAGGCAAGAGATGACTCTTGTCTGAAAGAGGATGACACCTCCTAGGGATAGGGACAGATGATTGACAGTTCCCTGCTGTGGAGCATTGTAGTGAATGATAGAGAAAATGATAGGAATTTTGGGCACTTGGAGAACAGAGGGGAATCTTCAGGACAGGGTGCGTGATGGGTTTTGAGAACCTTTGTTCTTCTCATCAATTTATCCTTGTCATTGGATAAACTATATGAACACGCAGGGGATTGAAATAAGCAAAGGTCCCTGAGAGCCTTGTCTCCCTGAGAGGTTGCAGGTATACCCCAGGTAGGCTGTTCACGCTCCTTGTGGCTAGAGGGGTGAGTCAATGGTGAGAAACTGTCCAGCCCTGGGGCAGTGACAGGAAGCTCACCGAATGAGGGTGATGTTTTTCCGGGGCACCTCCTTCAGGTCACTGATGGATGAAGTCTTGCCAGCAAAGCAGTAGTTGGGGTTGTAGTCGGTCATGATGGTCGAGGTCCGGAGCTTGCTCAGCTTATACTCGGGGCTCTGCAGCTCCATCTGCATAGCTTGCAGCTCCTGGTGCTTCCGGCGGTACACTGCAGACAGACGGGGTCTGTCGTGAGGGGGCCCGGGCCAGGTGGCCTTCAGCTCTTCAGCTGATGTCCAGCAAAGGCCACCTGCTCAAGACCTTAAACTTTCCTGTCACGGTTAGTGATGCTAACCAAGTGAAGATGTACATCAGGGTATCCCTTCATCGTGGAAAGGGAATGTGAAGCTTACACACACCTCACTGGAGGAGAGTTGACTGTGTCACACGGGGATGGGGTTTTGTTTCTGTTGTTTCTGGGTGATAAAATAGCCCCACAGAAGCAATGTTGGGGAGAAAGGGTTTATTTTAGCTCCCAGTCCCAGGATACAGCCCATCTTTGTGGGGAGCCAAAGTGGCAGGCGGGAATATGAAGTGGCTTGGTCACATCCACCGTCAAGGTCAGAGGAGGAATGCACATATGACTGCACTTATCTCCCGTCCAGTACCCGAACCTGGGGGGGCGGGGAATAGTGCTGCCCATCTTTAGGCTTGGTCATCTCATGTCAATTAATCCACGTAAGAAAATCCCTCACAGACGTGTCTACGGGTCAACCTAAATTAGGCAATCTGTCATTGAGATGATCTCAGGTGATTCTACACGGTGTCAAGCTGAAAATGAAAACTAACCCTCACAGGTGGACTTGCTGAAATTTTATTAGGAAGATGGCTGAGATCCATTAGACATAAACGAATGATACAGGGAAGGGTTAGTTAGGGCATGAGGGAGGCCACACAGTGGAAGGATGTCTTAGTGAGGTTCTTGGGGTGCATTTTGAGACCCACAATGACCATCAGAGGTATCTCAGGTCTCCTATGGATGATTCTGCCTGCATGCTTCTGGGACATTCCCTCCATCTAGCTTCTAGTCTCTGCCTACCTGTCAGGGCATCATACAGCCAGATGGTTCATTTTGAACCTCTGTGACCTGAGATCAGTTCACCTTGATTGGATGGAAAAGGCTCAGAAACCAGCTTTCACTCTCTGGTTGAGTGGGAGGACCTGGCTAGTTCGACTTGAGCTGTTATACAGGGAGTGGCCCCAGCCATGGCCAGGGTTCCCTCAAGCACAGAAGAGCTGCCAGTGAAGGTGAGGGTACAGGAAGAGCTTTCTCCATCATGTTGGCCCCTGAAGGGCATTCATCCCTGTGGACAGCCAGGAGGTCATGCAGGGTCAAAGATCGGCATCAGAGACTTCTCTCTAAAACTGCAGAATCTATGGTGGGTAGAGGGTTGATGCTTCTATTCTTACTTAGCCTAGCAGTTCACCCAGCAGGGACCCCAGCGGGGCAGGGTGATGCCTCAGTGTCCCTTGGACATCCTGAGACCCTATTCTTGTGGGCCCTGGTTTGGAAACCCTGGGGCTCCGGCACACTCACCGATCATGATGCCGGAGAACGCCAGGACAAGGGCGGCCACCAGGGCAGAGGTCACGACGGAGAGGATCAGAGAGAGCGGCAGGTGGGGTTCCGGGGTGGGTGACACTGGAAGACAGGTCCCGATGGGGCACTGACCATCATGCTGAGTCTCCTCTGAGCAGGTCCCAAGTCAGAAATACCCTCCCCAGCTGGAAAAGCCACCTGCTGTTTCCCGTCTCTGGAGATCTTGTCACACCTCCCTTTCCAGGGGACCATGGGCCCTAAGCAGGCTCATCCTGGTTTCACAGGCTCCCAGAAGTAGCTTTGGGGTAGAGGGAAAATTCAACAGGGATGAATATCAATCTTGGGTGTTGGTCCCAAACGTCAGTTGCACAAGGATGGGATGGGGACAGAAGGAGAAACAGAAGTGGATATGGAAGAGACTTGGGGACCTTAGGGGACTCCACACTCAGTAGGACCCAGCAGTAGAGTCCCTTGGTGACATTCCCAGACATGGGGTCTTATGGTCCCAGAACAGCGGAAGGTCCTGGAAGCCCCCTCCTAGCCAGGCTATAATCTGGTTCAAAAAGCTATCCCTCTCCTTCCCTCCTCATCCCTACCTTCTCCTCCCCTTCCTTCCCTTCCCTTCCCTTCCCTTCCCCTCCCTTTCCTTCCCTTCCTTGCCCCTATCTCTACCCCTTTCCTCCTCCCTTCTCCTCTCCTCTCCCTACCCCTCCTCTCCTTTTTTCTTTCATTTCTCTTTCTTCTTCACCCTTCCTTTCTCCTTCTTCCTCTCCTCTTCTTCTCTATCCTTTCCCAACTCCTCTCCATTTTTTCCTATTTATCTTTCTCTTTTCCTTTTTTTTCTTCTTCCACCCACAGTCTCCCTTTGTACTGAACTCAGGGTCTAGTGTACACCTGGCAGGCACTCTACCACTGAGTTACATCCCCAGATCTTTGCGTATTTTTTATTTCGAGATAGGATTTGATTAAGTTACTCAGGCTAGCTTTGAACTCCCTCTGTGGCAGACAGGCCTTGAACTTTCCATTCTTCTGTTTCCACTGGGATTACAGGGCTGTAAGCCCTGGCCTGACTTGGACATGTCTCAGGGCAGACTTGGAGCATGTGTAGAAGAGGGATTCCAGCGTGGGAAGCAGGCTTAAGGCTCTATCTGTGTGATCAGAACAGCTAGCTCTTGAATCTGGAGAAGACTCAAAGACAGAAGCATCCTTATTAAACGTGTGTGCTAAAGGCTGGGCCCAGTCAGGAACCATATACAGGGAGCTCAAAGGCACAGACCTGGCTCTGAAACTCCTTAAACCAAGGGTATCTTAGGAGAGCTACGGGATCCCTGTTGCTGGGTACTTGGGTGGAGAAGGAATGTCTAGCCCCTTGGTGAAGATGCCGGAGGTTTTGTTTCCTGGCTGAGGGAAGGGCATAGGCGATACTGAGACCCCTTCAGGTCTCTTTGTTCAGTTGCCAGAACACGAGCAAGAGAGGGGCAAGACACTTAGAACGCAGCTGGGCTTGTTCAGTTGGCTCAAGTCTTGGCCTTCTTCCCATCTCCCATTGCTGTTCCTTACCAATGCAGGAGACACCATCGTCAGCCAGCACGGTCCCATGGTCACAGAAGCAGATGACTTTGTGGCTCTCGGGGTCCATGTGGCATTCGTCTACCTCACAGTGACTGCAGTTTAGATAATGCTTGATATTCACTTCCCCGTGGCCCTCCATCACTGGTGACAAGGGGGGGGGGGAGGAGCAGTCTCAGCATTAACAGGAAGATCGACCGCCCTGTACCCTCAGCTCCCCGACTTTGAACTTTATCTCTGGCTGCTTGCTGAGGGTTCTTATTCTCCCTGTCCCAGGTCCCTCTGCCACTCCAAGCACATCTCTATTTGGTGAAGCATCTGTAGGCCCCTGGTGAGCAGGGCTGAGAGTGAGGATGTACGGTTGTCTCTGTGTAAGAGAAAGACCCCAGTCCAGGACGCTGACATTGGTACAGGTGTTCTAGTTACTCTTGGGTCATTTTCTAGGACCCGCCTGCCTGGTGATCCATGGTCTCCCTCTCCCTACATTCAACCACACACTCCAACTTCCAGAAAATATGATAAGATGAGCTATCTGAAGACTTGTATCATAAAGTGGCCTGTAGCCCACGCCTTGGTGTCCTGACCCAGGCCAATAACAGGTTTTGGCTTGGTGGAAGAAGTGGCTTAACTTTTTACTGTCACCTGGTAGAGGGGGGTACCTTTTAAGGCCGGGGTGTACAGAATACCCAATGGACTGATGAAGGAAACCCCATCTTCCCCATCCATTTCGGGGTCATTGTTTGATGCTGCGTTGCCACCTGTGGCAAACCAGAGAAGAGTTGAACCCCAAAAGGTGGGTGCCCAAGTCTCAACACACATGCACATCAACAAGCATGCATTTCTTGCCAAAGCTGTGGGCTACTGGGTGCCTGTGGGGTGGGGAGGTGGAGAGGGAAGGGAGGTTCCAGGCACAGAGATTGCACTTTGGTTTAGCTCTGCAGATGTTGGGTGTGTGGGTCAGTTTCCCCTCCAGGTTGGGGCCAGATCATCCAAGGGAGTCGCTACCACACTGCTGAGGCCCCAGTACTAAGTGGCACAAGTGAACAAGAGCCTAGAAGGTTCTAGTCTCTTGAAGTTGGGGGTGCATTCTTGTAGCTTGGAGAAGTTGCTCTCCAGACATTTGGGGGTCAAGACGGGCCCTGGGGGAGATGAGCTACTGTGCCTTCAGGCTCCTGTCCCTCCTTTCATCTAGGACTGGGTGATCTCGGGGCTCCCCCCTGGGGTCCTCCCATCCACCCCAAAGCTTGGAAAGGAAGCTTGTGTGGTTAGCACAAGCATTTTTTACACAGCGACAAAGCGAAACACAGACACGAACGTCACAGTGCGGGCATGCAGTGTATCCTAGTCTGGGGGAGGGTGGGGGGGATCATCTGCCAGGTTCTTAGCTGCAAGCTATTCCCAAGGCAGTAGGGGAGATCAACAGCAGGCTGTTTGCCGCAGGTTTGGGATGAAGATGCTTGGAGGTGGCTTCTGGGAGTGGGTCCCACCCACTAGTGGATAGCCCCGCTCTGTAGCAGCTAACGGGCTGGGCAGAAAACTGAGAGCAGGAAGCCCATGAAACTGCAGACCAGTTCCCTTCAATGCTGGCTTGGCCAGGAACCCCAAAAGGAGTTGTAGGGGCTAGAAGAGTCTGGTCTTCGGGGCTGCCTGGTCCATGTGGTGGCTTATGAAACCATCTGAAAAGCCAAACACTTTTCATGTTCAGCTTTGAAGGGGCGAGGGACCAAGGATCACATAGGATCTTGATGCTGTTTCTACACAAGCCTGGAGGCAGAATGCTGGCTCAGAAGCCAACACCCTACCTCTGGCGGGCCCAAGCCAGGCAGAGGGGAGGGGAGGGGAGCGTGCAGTCACATCACAGTTCACACTGGGGGGCAGGGGGGGTGGCAGGGAGGTGACAGGGAGGGAGGAGCCTAGGACTAAGAGGGGGAGAGTGACACCTAGAACACGAATCATCTTTACCTATATATCCTCCGCCTCCTCCACCTGAGGAGCACCCCCCTCCACCCCCTCCGAAACCCCCTCTTGTCTCCCACCCCCACTTCTTCATGGCCTGGGGGCAGGAATGTCCTCCAGCGGCACCCTCCAGCAAAGACTTTCCGGCCCAGAGCAAGGAAGTGTTATCATTCCAGCCGCCTCCACCACCTGCGGGAGAGATGAGAGGCCTCTCTGATGAGCTGGCAGGATTGGAGGGGGAAGAGAGCTGGGGAAGGTGGAAAGAGGATGTGGTGGGTGTTGATTGGTGGGAGGTACTCCCATTGGCTCTGTTCCAGGGTCTAGTTCATGGTGGAAGCTAGGAGTAGCATGCTGTTGGCACTAGGGACCCTCTTAGGCCACACCATGTGCCTATACAGCTGTGGGGCTTGGTGCCCTGCTTCCTGGCAGGCCTCTCTAGCTCAGGAGTAGGCAGTGTACTCCAGTAGGTATTTGGGGGACATTGGGGACAGGCAGAATGATGGTGGAACTTCTTGCTGCATGGCTGCCACCTCTTGAATGTGTACTTTCACGTAACTGTTTCCGTCTTAACGAGACCTGTGGCCACCTGTCTCAGTGGTCAACTGGTGAGTACCTGCAGGTTTGGGGTACTGGGCCTTCATAGGGCTAAGTCAGCAAGCCTCAGGCCAGCAAGATAGCCCCAGAGGCATAAGGGTGATGCCTGCCTGCCCCTTTCCCTTGATACTGGCATCAATGGGAACAGTTCCCATCACTCAGTGTTTCAGGGTTCCCGAGAGGTTTCTGGGACCCTGCTCTACTGGGTCACCGCACTGGTTTCTTGCAGGCTCAGGGTCTAACTAGTCCCATGGGTTTGCTGGGTGTCAAATCCAGGACATGGACTTCCCCATTCTGAGCCTCAGTTGCCCCACTTGTAACTTAGCGATAATGAGACTCAAATCACATTGAGCATTGATGTTAGAGCCTCCAGAGTGAGTGCTTGAAACATCCCTCCAAACGCCAAGTGTGGAGTCGGTTAGGTGTGGCAGGAAGAACTCTTGTTTGCTGGCTGCCCGGTGCCTGGCTCAGCCAGCTTCAGTGCTATAGAGAAGCTCAGCGGGGGTGGGTGATGCCCCGTGATAGTGGCAATCGCTTGAAATGAGTCTCGGGAACCCCAGCTTTGAGCTCTTGGAAAGGGAACTAATGGACAGACTTGAGGCTGTATATAGCCCCTAGCACTTGACCCCAAGGACTGTCTCCTGTTGGTCCTAAAGAGTCCAGTGCCCTCTCCCCGTTATTGTTCCATATGACATTCCAATCGGCACCTAACCCAATGACTCCAGTAGGTGATCTCAGTGGGATCTGGAAACCCAGGCAGATGGAATAGAGTCACTTCACCCTGGGATTGTAGGAGTTAGCCTGCCAGGTGGAGTCTTCTGGAAGAGTTGGCTGAGGTCCCCCTGGTCCAGAGAGAGCAGCACAGTAGGAGGGCATAAGGAGTCAGGGTTTCTGGTAGAGATGCCCGGATGCTAGTGCTAGGGAGCCAGGCTTCCAAAACGGAGCTCAGATGGGTAGCACCCTC